AGATCATTAACTGATAACGGTATCTTGAAATAAGATTCCTATATCTCAAGGTAATGCTTCTCAAACTTTCTTCCCACAGTCCCCTACAGACTGACGCTAATCTTTAATGCTGCCCTTGTTCAATTTTGGTGCAAAGAAAGGAAACCATCCACCTCTTTCTTCTGACAACATAAAAAAAGAACAAAACTATTTGCCATCTTCAGCCCAGAGAGGGTAAGAACCAAAACAAACAAAAGGTGTTGGATTAGCTCAAGGTTCTGGGCATAAAAATGGACAAATAAGCAAAATACGTGTGGCTTTTTCTTTTTATCAAAACGTTGATTAAAAAAATGTAAATAGCATGAAAACTCTCTCAGCAAGAAAAGGTAAGTGTAGCCAAGAAATGTTTGAAGCAGATGAATAACAAAGGAGAACTTGTCCACCGGATATTAAAATATTATTCAACCTCCAATAATTTCAATGGGTGGTACTGGCACAAGAACAGACAGAAAGATCAATGGAACAAAACATGAAGTCCAGAAACATACCCAAGAATTCTGAGTATGATGAAGATGGCATTTCAAATTGGTAGGGAAATGAAAACTTAGTCAACGGTACATAGTGCTGCGACCACATACTGTTTGGGGAAAAAATAAAGTTGAGATGATTTCTACCCTTTCCAGAATTAGGAAGGAAACGTTACCTTTAAAAATCTCTCCAGGGCAGTAACTGTGAACCTGGGGTAGGGGAAACTAAAATCAAAAAGGCAAAGACATAGACTGAACTACATAAACACTTCCCTTCCATATGTCACAGAACACAACTAAGAAGAAAATTTTTAAATATGGGAAAAATACGAATTGCAGCTAGTAATGCAAGACACAAGAAACCCAGAGGTTCTGACAAGCTGTCCTTAATTCGCATAATAAATGACTTCAGAGAAATTACAGTACCATTTTAAAGCGAAATTACCTAGAATACGAATAATTTGCAGATGAGTCAAAATAAATTATTTGTGTTAATTTACAGAACCCCAGCTACCCACCTCCTCTTCCTGCATAAACCCTCCAGTGGCTTTCTAATTCATTTAGAATGACTGGACACTAGTGAGCCCCTTCCCTTTCTTTTATTGGCCTTCTTGGTGTTCCTTTCCAAGCCGGTCCCTGCCTTGGGACTTCCCAGCGCTTCCTTGGCCTTGATGCTCATCATTGATATTCACACAACTGGCTCTTCATGATCAGATCTCAGCCCAAATGCCACTCTCTCCAAACTCTTCCCCGATCACCTAACACAGAGAGGACACACGTGCCCTGCCTCAACCCTGTTCTGTTTTCTCTACAGCATCCATCGCTAGCAGAAACCCTCTTTTTAGTGTTGTCCCTCTGACTAAAGAACACGAGAGCAAGCCATGTATCGTAGTCTCCCCCAGGACTCAGGGTCTGGGCCCAGAGGGGCCATGCATGCATGTGCTTTACAAAGAAATGGATCCTAAGTAATGAATCAGGATCACTCCTATGAACTTAACAGCTACGGCGTCACTCAGGGCCTCCAAAGGTCAGTCTGGCTGGTTTCTCACCTGCTACATTTTGAGTTTTGTCTTGCCTGCTGTGAAAAATCTGTTTCTTGCCTGCTGTCAGCTGTCACTGCCCTGCTATATCTTGGTGGCCCCCATCCACCCCTCAAGCAGATGGTAGGTCTAGAAAGTAAAAATGTGTAATGATGGAGACGTTCTATCATCAAAGTGCAGTGCCTTTAGTGTGGACGGGCATATCTCCTTGGATTTTCAAAAGCTTTTTTAGCCCCTTTCTGGATGTCAGACAGTTGTTGGAAAGAAGTGGTTGCTAGCTACTAGTCCCTAGACCTAAATTCTGACATTTTCAGTATTCTACACCAAAGTATCATCTTACTGAAATTGCTGGCATCTCCTTCATCCATAAGCCAAACAACAGTTGCTTTTGTTTTTTTAAAAAACAAAACTAGAGTTTTCTCTAAGATAAAGAATGAATTTACCTTTCAGGAGAAATGTAAAACTCAGCACATCGATTTCCAAACTAGAGTTCTATCTTGTGCTAGAAGAATCAAGCTTACTTTTATACTGAACTGTGCATGCAATTTCCAATTTAAGAGCTCAGTGCAGACTTTTGGCCTGGGCTGCAGAGTACAGTAAAACTGTAATCATATGTTATACCCTATAACCTCCATCCCAATTGAGGCCTTCCCCAAAAGTTCCTTAACTTTTAGCCTTAAGGCTAAAATCGTCTTGTGCCAACTCCTGCAGTCAGTCTAAACACACTGTTGGCAGGCAAGAGGCAAAGGACCCTAACTGGCAGGGCAGGTCCACCTCCAGGCTCCAGGTACTCTGACTTCTTAAGATTTGGGAGATAAAAGGAAATTTATGTGAGAAAGCTGGAGTGACACTAGCTGGACACTACCTCCTGGTAGGCGTTTTCCTTTCTCAGAAAGGCAGAGGTGTCACAATGAAGGGAGAACCCGGCCTGGGGGCAAACTGTGTTTCTGCTTCCCCTAACTACCTGAAAAACAAAACAAAACAAAACAAAAAAAACAAAAAAAAAAACAAATTAAATCTTACATCCAGAAAAAGACGAGGGAGGAGATGTGGAAAGGAGGCCAAAAGTAAGTTTGGGAAACCATCTCCAAGTGTGAAACAGTAGTTCTAGTTTGCATTACCTTTCTTTTTTGGAGACAGTCTCGCTCTGTCCCCTAGGCTGGAGGGCAGTGGCGCAATGTCGGCTCACAGCAAGGTCTGCCTCCCAGGTTTACGCTATTCTCCTGCCTCAGCTTCCCCAGTAGCTGGGATTACAGGCGCCTGCCACCAAGCCCGGCTAATTTTTTTTTTTTTTTTTGCATTTTTAGTAGAGACGGGTTTCACCGTGTTAGTGTTAGCCAGGATGGTATCTATCTCCTGACCTCGTGATCCGCCTGCCTCAGCCTCCCAAAGTGCTGGGATTACAGGCGTCAGCCACCCCGCCCAGCCTGCACTACATTTTCTGAGTATTGCTGGTGCATTAGGCCCCCCCATTGATTTGAATATATTCATACTGCAAACATGAAAATGCATTTGCTCAGGGGCATGGGGGAGATAAGGGAGTCACCTAATTTACTATTTGTACTAACTAGTTTGGTAACTGTCCCCAAAATTGTTATTTCACATGGTCTATCACCACACTAGAGTCATGCGGATTTACTTTCAAAACCATGCTGTAAATAATTTACGCGGCTCATCCTTGATTTCTGATGCGGCTGTTTCTCCGGTCAAAAAAAATCCCATAAAACCTCAGGTAATGCAAGGTAGATCTAGGAGAGAATTCTGATCAGCTGGTTTCCAAATCGCTGCATTAGCCCATGTATCTCTATCTATCTATCGATAGACAGATACACAGATTTTTTTTTTTTTTTTTTTTGAGATGGAGTCTCGCTCTGTAGCCCAGGTTGGAGTGCAGTGGCATGATCTTGGCTCACTGCAACCTCCGCCTCCTGGGTTCAAGCGATTCTCCTGCCTCAGCCTCCAGAGTGGCTGGGACTACAGGCGCAGGCCACCATGCCTGGCTAATTTTTGTATTTTGAGTACAGACGGGGTTTCACGATATTGGTCAGACTGGTGTCGAATTCCTGACCTCGGGTGATCCGCCCGCCTCGGCCTCCCAAAGTGCTAGGATTACAAGCGTGAGCCACAGCGCCCGGCCTGCATTAGTCTGTTTTTACACTACCTGCATTCTAAGCTTTTCAGCCACTCAGGACCCTTCCTGGCGGAATGTGGGCTCTGGACTTAAGCAGGACCCTAAAGGAAATGTGCAGGAATGGGGATCAAGCCATTTAAGGGGCAGTCACTGAAGACCGCTTTCACCTTCTTTCTCAGTCCTTTACTTCCTCCCTTAAAGGCAAGGGGGACCATATATGCTTTTCCCCTCACAATATATAATGCTTGAAAAATCTGACCAAGGCTGCATTTAAAAACTGAAGTGTAAAGGTATTGGTTATAAGAACAAACAGCAACCAGCTTAGCCTGGCTCAGCACTGGCTGCTCTGAAATTTCATTCCCAGACCATTCAGGCTCTAAAACCACTCCCCACATTGGTTTGTTCTGTGGCTGAAGAAGACCCAAACTTTATCCATACGGTGTTTCTATACTTCATACATACAGGGTTTCAATCAAATTCCTTTATTGAGTCTACAACCCTCTCCAAGTTCAAATTCACTCCAATACAAATCTGATTCTAACCATGCCAGCCATTCCAAAATCATCTCCCTTCTAAAGACTACATTGGCTAATCCCTTTGTTAAACCTGGACACGATTCCAGCTGCTTTTATGACTCATTTGGCCAACTAGAGCCCAGTTACTGGATAACATGCATACACCACTAAGCTGAACTAATTAACACCAGAATGCAGTTTTCCACTGTATCTACCAACGGCCAAGAACTGCTTTTCTCCAAGGTTCTCTCCCTCTTTACTCAACAGACTGGAGTGCTCCAGTGTGCTGCGGGCATTCTCTTTCATTTACAGGAGTGCCTCCAACTGCGAAATGTGAGAGTATGATATGGAAAGGTTCTAGAACTAGATTAACGTACACGGGCTCTAGTTTTACAAAGACAAACGTGCACATTTTAGAGAATCCAGTAACAGCCCTAATTGCCTCCACTATCAGGTACTGTGCTATGAGTTTTCCAACATCATGAGGGAGACCCGATATGTCGGGCCCTTTTAACGAGAGGCTTCGATTTGTAAAGGCTAAAGTGCCTTAATCAGGGTGAGAGGCACACCCAGTGAGGCCACACTAGTCTATTTGACCCCAAAGGCCATGTTCTTGAGCGCTGCGCTCACCATCCCGCCTCTGATCTTTTCTCCCTCGGCCCGGCATCTCCCGAGAGGCAAGCCGATCCCAACGGAAGGCCAGGAAGGGCCTACGAAGCGGGCGAACGCGAGAGCCAGGAGAGGACCCGGGATGCCAGCCGACAGGATGCCGGACGCAGGAGGCGGTGCCCGGGAAGCAGGGGCTCACCTGTAGGCGGCCACGGCGCGGGTCTGCAGGTATTTCTGGGCGGTCATGACTCCCACGAAGAGAAAGTTCCTGTCGCGCGGGCCGCCATCTGGGTCCGAGCCGGGCGACCAGAGCTGCGCCCCGCG